CAGCCAGCCATGCTGGCTGGGGAATTCTGGGAGTTGAAGTCCACACATCTTAAAGTTCCCAAGGTTGAGAAACACTCCACTAAGCTATATTGCCTGCTTCGGAAGAAGACGTAATATGCAAGATGATAGGGGAAGGGAAGAAGAGGCATGCTAGGAAGTAAGACACTCAAAAGACACGTCATATGGCTTTAAAACCTTAAAAACAATTGCTCACAAAAATCCGGGTTTTGCTTTTAAGTAAAATTAGTAAGTTACTAGACCTCAGGTGGTTGAAAATAGGGAGGCTGGCTGTTTTCCTCGATGGATCATCTTACACGTGAGCCGTAAGACCTTTCAGAGGCTCAGGAGAGCTTGCTGGATGGAATATTCCCAATCACCCCCCCCCAACACGTTTTGAAAATTGGTATGTTAGGGAGACACGGACATTTTTGGTTTAGCGTGCTCTTTTTCTATGCAGAGGAATTAGATATTTTTTTGATGGGAGAGCATTGGACGGTGTCCTTAGTTACCCAGGGGTGTCTGGACTGTGTGGTCAGAAAGTCAAGATGGAAGCTACAAGGGTGCGATCAAAGCCCTGCCTGTTTCTTATGCGCATCACACACTCGACGCGCATAGAAATACAGTTGGAGCTTCAATCACACCATCATGGCACCATTTTAACTTTTTCGACAACCCTCTGTGAACACCCCTAGATCTAGCAAACGGTTTATGATCTCAGAATGAACCACGCCTAGAGGACAGATGATGGGGTTTGGCCTGGGCACCCCAATGTCCAAAGGAGTGAAAAGACAGCTTCAGAGAGAAGGCACAGCCCATGTGGTACAGTCCTGATTCCAACTGAGAAAGCCCCTTGGCATCCTGAAGAGGCAATGGTGGTCCAAAAGGCCCTCCTGTTAGCATCAGAGTCTCACATTGATCTGTCTGGCTCAACTGATACCAAGATGAGCTCCAAGAAGCAAGTCAAGGAGAAGAAAGGATGCTCAAGGGACCTCTTGCAGAAATTGGCTCACCTGATAGAAGGCATGGAAGTTCCTTTCACCCGGTTGCTGCTTGAGGATGCGTGACTGCAAGGGAAGGAGAAGGTTAGGTCATCTGGAGCAACTGGGTTGATAGACTCCCCGGTACCTGAAGCCCAAAGGCAACAGACAACCTTGGCAGCTACAGATGCCCAGGCAGGAGACCCCACCTTGTGAGGGGCTAATCCAGAGCCACACCTGGCTTTTGGACATCACAAAGGGAGACCCACTCCAAAAAGGGCACAGGACCCAAACAAAAACCGGCAGGGCAGCGCAAACAAGACGTTTAGTTGAGTTTACCATGGAAGTAATGGAAATAGGATTGAACCTGTATTTTTCATAATGCTCCTTTCAAACTGGCCAAGAGGTGGCAACGTTTGGAGGAGCATGGTGGGTCACCTGAAAGAGCCATGTTTACACAGCCCTGGGACCTTAAGTTACACCTTTGGGGGCTAACACTTCATTCTGATAATGATTTCCAAGGCAGGCTCCTAATCCTCCCAAAATTGCTACGATCCAAATATTCCGGAAGAGAGTGGCCGTTGGATCATGTAAGGACTGAAGGAGGCTCATGAGCATCTTTGAAGGACCCTTCCAGGCTTTCAGTGTGGAATTGCTACACTTGAATGGATGTTCAGATAGCTTCATCTCCTACGTGAAATCCCCCTGCGTTTCCCCAGTGATTGTTCCTTCATTCCAATGTAGGGTTGGTGAATTCAGTTTTCAGTTGAGGCTGTCCGATGGACACTTCCATGCCACCAGCCTTTCCAACTCTTTGATTCCAGTACAAAATGTACCCAAGATTCATCTGCCTATTCATGGATCCCTTTTCTCTCTTTTCCCATTTGCAACCTTCCTGGGCCAACAAGGGTAAACTTGACCAGAATTAGTTACACACCAGCGATTAGCAGAGCATTCAGGGTTGCCTTTAGGGTTGGGGCTTGCCAGAGAAGTTGGCCTTCCACAGAAAAAAACTGGGGTATGTTGAGATTTTGGGCAATTACAAGGCCAGGTCATGACGTTGTTTTATCAGCAAGGGGGTCATCACAGGCCAAAATTGGAACAGTAACTTGGTTAAGAAACTCTCTTTCAGACACAAGCAGTTCAGACAGGGGAACAGGAAATCTCTGGGGGTGGTTGGGGGTGGTCTTGATGGGCAGATGTCGCCAAGCATGTCATTCATAAGCAGGGATTTCCAGTTTCCAGCCTGGTTTTTTTTATGGGGAATTCCTTGTTTTTACACAATTTAGTGTATACATTACACTTGAATTTCCCCCCTTACAGTGTGCGAGAACGTTCTGGCAATCATGGTTGGTGGGGGACTCCAGAGTCTGCTCAAAAGGGGGTCAGAATCCCCTCTTTCTGCAACAGGAGACCCAACTTATCTTTTATGTCCTTCAATTCATCAGACCCTGAAGCCTGATGATCCCAACCTGATCATTCACAAAGTCAAGATTTGCATTCAGGATCTCCTCTTCTGCAGCTCTCTGTCTGCCACAGATCTTACCCTGAATGTGAAATTTTGCAAAATAAGCATGCAATTAATAGAAAATTTGTGAATAAAATTAAGGAAGTGTGGATGGCTCCAAAGGCCGTTGGGGAAAATGTGACTCTTCCAGAGGGCCTTTGGCGATTAAACAAATATAGTGGTGCCATTTCCTCTAATTCTATAACTTTAGCTTTTTATTTTAGTTATCATTTTAACTAACTTTTTTCTGATTTTGTATTTTTCATTATGGAAGTTCTCTAGGCCACCTAGAGTTCCAGGCAATCAGATCAACTTCAAAGGAAGTCCAGGAAAGATTACCCTTAGCAGGTTTGACTACATCAGTGTTTCTCAACCTTGGCCACTTTAAGACGTGTGGACTTCAACTCCCAGCATGGCTGGCTGGGGAATTCTGGGAGTTGAAGTCTACACATCTTAAAGTGGCCAAGGTTGAAAAACACTAGACTACATTATTCTGTTCGCACAGATTTGGGGATTTAGGGTTGCTTACAATAGGATGCAAGATTTCACCTCCGTTAATGTTGAAAGCCCATTTTGCACCCCAAGAGTTAATCCTAAACCCAAAATTCCTGGCTCTGAGTTCCTGTACCTTTTCTAACAAGTAGTTGCTGATGTGTCCTCCGGTGGGGTCTCCTTTGAAGTCAAAGTTGATGTCCATGTATTTGCCAAATCGGCTGGAATTGTCGTTGCGGTTCGTCTTGGCATTGCCAAAGGCCTCCAGAACGCCGTTGGATTTGAGCAAAACATTTTTTACCCTGCAGGGCAAGTGGGGCAACGGGGAAGAAGGGAAATGCAAAAGAGTTGCTGGGGAGCAGAGGGTTACAGCTGGCCTTCAAGTGGGGCTTTAGGGCTCCTCCTGGCCTTCAACAAAGCATTCCAATGGGCCATTCGCTGTCTCTTTGCCTAGCCTACTTCGCAGGGTTGTGAGGAAGAAGAAAGAAAAGTGGGGGGGAGGGATATTTATTTTATTTCATACATTTCCAGCCTGGTTTTTTGTCCTAGTCACTGCACCGTAGACACCGCAGTGTCTCCCAACCTTAGTAGCTTTAAGACTGGCTGGGGAATTCTGGGAGTTGAAGTCCGCACGTCTTAAAGTTGATAAGGTTGAGAAACTCTGGGCTAGAGGGAAGAAGGATGAAAACCTGAGGTGCACAGTACAAATTTAAGATGATGCTGTCACTATTGGGTGCAAAAGCAAAAACAGTTGTTAATCTTAGGCGTACATGGCATGTGGGAAAGACCTTTGGAGATGGGGCGAAGAGACACTGCCTAGGGAACGGTCGGATAAGAGACAGCATAGCCTGCAGCTGGATAGTGGAGTTCCTTGAGGATCGGAGGCCGTCCTTGAAATTCCTCTCTTTGGAAGAGAGTATGAGACTTGCAAGATTGATGTCAGCCTTACTAGGTAGACCAGACAGGAAATATGACCAGATGAGCTAATTCTATTTTATTGTAAAGGTACATTATCAGAATCTTGCAAGTCTGAAGGTACAATTCTCCCCCTGTCTCCTTTACAGCCTGGAAAGCTAGGAAGGGTCCCTTACGAGCCTCTTTCTCTGTCCATTATGCAGCTGTGGGCTTTGCCCTCTCTTATCTGACCATTCCCTAGGCAGAGTCTCTTTGCCCCATCTCCCAAGGTCTTTCCCACGTACCATTACTTATGGTAGGAATAAAAGTGTTTTATGCATACTGCAGGCAGAACATTGATCGCACTGTCGCGATCTTGACTTTTTTGACCACACCCTGCAGACCCCCTTGAAAGAGCTGTAAAATGAAAGTTGACAGCAAAAGCACACAATGGACTGATCAAAAGCTGGGGAGAATTGTTTACGTGCTTGATTTTAAATTTTATAAAGTTTATTTTAGTGATGGACATCGTCTGGAGAGGCATTGCGTGAGCGACAGGATAGACAGGTTTTAAATAAAGAATATTTCAGCCGCCTGAAAAGAAAGGGAGCTGCCCAGTGCTGTAACACACTCAGCCAGCCATGAAAACGGAAGATTACGCCCAAAGTTCTTCTAACTCCACATTCCATCCATGAAATCATTTTGTAAGTCGTTTAACAAGATGGGCCGTGACAAATTCGATAGATAGATAGATAGATAGATAGATAGATAGATAGATAGATAGACTGTTCAAAGCAAGTCCTTGCATCTTAAGTGCTTTGAGATTCGGCTGTTTTATACTTAGGCCAGTGTTGTCCAAACTTGGCCGCTTTAAGATGATTGGACTTCAACTCCCAAAATTCCCCAGCCAGCATGGCTGGCT